ATAATTTTTTAAACAATTATAGATTCCCACCTTCCAACCCCATGGCCGTATGTGCATGTATAAGCCTGAGGAGTCCATATATAGGAAGCTCTGGTGGCTAGAGCTAGTGGTAAGAAACTGTTCTGCAATCACAAAGGCCCACAGTTGCTCTCTGGGAAAAGGAAGGGCAGTTGCCTCTCTTGCAATTAACTGCCTTGGAAAACCTGCCAGAGGGTTGGCTATGCATGGGTTCTGTCTCACTGGTACACAACACCACCAACAACGATATGTATATGTATGCAGTATATTTCATATGTGAATAATTAAAGTGTAAAAGAGACAACAGTTATATTAATTTAAAATTTTTCTTAAGGTAAGGATCTCTTTTTTAGTATAGAGAAAGATTCTTTAGATTTTATTTTTTGTTTTTCTCAAAAGCAGAGTCAAATTGAAAAATATTTATGTTCATGTTGAGCAGATTTAACAGGAAATTTAGAATACTCTCCTATTGCCATTGAGTAAGAATCGACTAACAACTGACAATTATTAAGGGTTTTCAGAGGCTGTAAATTGCTTGGGAGGAGATTGCCTTTCTTGTTCCCTCAGAGCAAATGATAGATTTGAACAATGTGTCTCTGAGTTGGCAGCACAATTCCTTACCCACTAGGCTGCCACAGCTCCCAAGAACATATTATGAAGTTTAAATGTCCTTTTGACCAGTTCGAAATAAGTTTGAACTGACTTACAGTAGCAGCAGGGAGATTCTAAGTTTTAAGATATTTGAATAATTCTGCAAAAGCCTCTTTTAGGAATATACAGCCTCTTATAATGGTGGTAGGTTTGTCAGAGACAAGGAGATTGACTCAGGGTAGGACAGGGTTTAGAGCTATTATTGTGCATAGGGTCTCTATGACTTGCAGGTGACTCAATGGCACATAACAACAACAACATGCCCTATTTCAATATTAGCTGGAATATTTTGACAGAAACCATAATCAACAGGGGGATTTCAGAGGGGGAACTAGTGCTAACGAATGTAAATTGCAATGAGGTTAGGTGATAATGTAGACATAGTCGCTGATGCCAACATTACCTGCAGTGTGAAGCTTTAGCTTATATATATATATATATATATATAGATCTAGAAATGCACACCTATTATACAATGTAATGTAATGTGCTACGTCCTAGGGCTCCTACAGAGCATAGATGTATATATACCCTTTACAATATGTTGAAAGAAAAACAAAAGGCTTGCAAGTCTTAATTGTCCCTGTGATAATAGAAATTTTAATATAATATAATTGCTCTTGAAATATTTTCAGGGCCAGGTGTCCAAGATATGTCAAAGTCCTTTGGAGGAGAGAACATAGTTTGGTAATGTGTACCATGCATTATTTTAAGGTAGTCAATGAGTAACTTGATCGTATTTCATTTTCTTACAGGGTGAACAAGGGCGGCGTGGACCTCCAGGAGAAGCAGGTCCCAAAGGAGAGAGGGTGAGTTCAGTTTAGTCAGAATTGCTATAAGCGTTGTGTTTTTCTGTGTCATCTGCTTGCTTATCTGTTTGATATGGCCTCAGTATATTGTCAAGCACTCACTTCTTGTTCTTTCTTTTCTGTCCTGCAGGGGGCTCAAGGTTCTCGAGGAATTCCTGGCCTCCCTGGGCCCAAAGGAGACACGGTATGTCTCAAGTTGTAATTATCAAAGTGATTACTAACTTGTAACAAACCTTCAAAAAATAATGAAGGGAATCAGAATGTGATTGTTCTTAAAGAACAGTGTTTCTTTGTGTGTTTTTAGGGCTTGCCAGGTGTGGATGGCCGTGATGGGATACCTGGGATGCCAGGAACAAAGGTAGCTGTGTGATTTCATCCAGGACTGAACTCAGCCATCTGGGCTCTAACCAACTGAACACAGTGTTTCCATTACTCCATTTCCAAGAAATTTATTTAGCCAGCGTTTGTCTTTTTTCTCCTTTTAAAGTTTTTTTGTTTGTTTGTTTTTTTGGTTTTTTTTAACCAAATGTCAAATACTTGTTAGACTGGAGTAGTTATTTGCTCAGTTTCAAGACCTCAGAAAAATTGCCCACTGATTCGGCTGAGGGAAATTGTGCCTGTTAATTAAATTTGTGTCCCGTCCAGCTCCTAATCTTCACTCTGCAGTGGGTCATACTCTAATAAAAGTGCATGTGAGGTCAGTTGATAGGGGATTCCTTTGACCAGGAGGCTCTGTACCTTTCCCTTTCTAAGAAGAAACACAGTCATTACTGATGGGCTGAAAACTTTGATTTCAGGGAGATGCAGGGAAACATGGACCTCCTGGTGATGCGGGACTGCAGGGGTTACCTGTGAGTATCTGGCTCTTTAAATGCTTATGGGCTTATATACACGTTTTGAAGAGAAGAATTTTTAGGGAGTGCCATGTTATGTCATTTGTAGCATGTTCTGGGGAAGGCACAAAAAGGGCTCTCGTGGCACAGTGTTAAGTGCATATTTTCTAATTAGAAGGTTTCTGATTTGAACCCACCAGCTAGTGTGTGGGACAATGATGCTGCAGTCTCCTATCTAAAGATTTGTTAATTTGAAAACCAAAGGGGACAATTCTAACTCTATCCTACAGGTTTGCTAAAAGTGGGAAGTGATTGACTCAATGGAAATAGCTCTTTTCTTTTTGTTGAAAAATATGATAGTTTACATTTTTATGTATTTTTTTCTCTGAATGATTAAGCTTTAATTTTACGTTTTAAATCTCTCTTTCTAGTCTATCAAGTTTTCTTAAGTGTGTTTTTTTGCTGTTGTTTTTGTTGTTTAGTTGTTGGGTTTTTGGTTTGTTTGGTTTTTTTTTTTCTAACCCTGAAATGAGAGGAGGGTTATATACTTGCTCTAACTTTTTGGTCATTTCGGGAATGTTTTTCTGTTAGCTCGGTTGAGCCACAAGAGAATCTGCTCAGAGAACAAGTGAAATACAACACCATGTTTAGATTATGTGTAACTTTTATTTTTTTTAATTAAATTTTATTTGTTTTAATGAACATTTACAGAGATTTTGGGTTTTCATTCATTCATTGTTGCACTGTTTTCTCCACCCTCATCCCCAGTTCGTTCTTCTCCCCCCCCATGTCTGTTTTAATTGTCCAATTGCCACAGTGTTTGTCAAAGCCAGTTCTGATTAATCTCCTTTGTCAGTGTGTCCCTTGCCATTCCCTATCACTCCTCCCTGAGAGAGACTTCACCCTGATTCATAAGGAAAAGGGGATGGCATATTCTCTTAGCTACTTCCTGCTGAAAAGGGACGCTGTGGGTTTCAGGGTGAAGGTCTTCTCTCACTACTCTAAAGGGCCCCTTTGGCAGTAGGAAACACAGACTATTATGGAGATTGATTTTGGAATTTAGATGCACTGTTATCAATTGTGCTTAGCCGTACATGTTCATATCCTCGAAGATGTATCATGGAAGTGTTGCAGCCTAGAAGATACAAATTTAACTAACAAGTTAAAGGTGCATGAGTCAAAAATTGAAAAGCAATAATATTCTGAGTAGAGGTTCTAATAGTGGCACAAATCAAGTTACAGAGGTAAGGTGGTTCCATTGCCATCCTTACTCTAACTTAATTCTTTTTTTTTAATTTAAATTTGTTATTAATTTCAGTGAAAATTTACAGAGGCTTTGGATTTCCATTCATTCATTGTTGTAGATTTGTCCCCTCCCAAGGCTCCCCCCCACCAGACATTACCCTCTTGGAAAAGTGAAAGATTCTTTCATTATTTTACAAACCCTCCCCCAGGTCCACTCCACCATGTAGCCATCGCTCTAGACTCCTGTCATGACCAAAATACCTAATCACATATCTCTTTTAAACAGTTTTCTCCCTTCTCTGTTTCAGAGCAGCATACATTATTGAACCCATCTTACTCAGTCTCTCCCCAACCCCAAGGACAGTCCCATTCGACAACAGTGGCGCCATGCAATATTTGTCCCTTTGTGATTATGTGTAACTTTTAAATCATTCAGATGTCTGTCTCCTTTCATGAATGTGGCTGGAAGTGCATGTGAATTTTGCATGTGTCCTCTTGGTGGTTAGATAGTTCAGGAAGTGGTTTTGGTGATACTGGAGGTCGGGCTTTCACTTTATAATGACATCTAACACCTATTAAACAATCAACTTCAGAAAAATTCCGATTTCTACAGTATGAAATAGGCCCAATCTCCTTGTTTCCTTTTTTCACACCTTTTCCTAGTAAGTTCTAACATTTTCTCTCTGTGCTCATACTTTTACTCAGTACATGATACCACATCATGTATCACAGAGTTAGAGTCTCAGTGAGCTCCTGTCAATCTGGAAATGGTACAGGATTTTAATTTGGAAGTTTGTTCTCTGAGAAACAAATTTAGTTAGTTAAAGACTTTATAACACACAGCTTCCTTAAAACTGGGTGATTCTGTAGCTGACTTCTGTGAGCTGGGGAAGTAGGATGATGCCCCTTCATGAAAATGCTTTTGGGGTTCTCCTGTTGTTAGGGATCCCTCAGCCTCACAGCAATGTTCGGCAGGGTTGGGGTCTGATGGATTTTCAGACTGGGTGATTAAACCACACACCATATGTATTTTTATAGGGTGTTCCTGGAATTCCTGGTGCAAAGGGGATTGTTGGTGAAAAGGTAAAAGATGAAAACCTTTAAATGATTCTTTTTCTTTACATCTCTTTTATGAATTTAGTTTAGCAATAATTTAATTGTTAAATAATAATAATTTAAATCCTTCCAATGTGTTGTTTACTTTGTATTTGACCCAAAGGAGAAATAAAGGAGCCAAAGCTTTAAAGATTCAAATGTGAATCTTAGCTTCAGAAAGAATACTGTGAAGAGGAATTACTGATTAGACCATTTTCATGAAAACGTTGCTCATTGCCTGTGTAAAGCAGCAAAAGGTTTATTGTTCCTTACCACTTAAATGATGAAGAAATCACGAAGCCATGAAACTTACGTCAATGAATATTAATATGTTACCTCGAAGTAAAAATAGAATGGCTATTTTGTTAGCCTATTGACTAACTAGATTTTATTCTGTACTGAATTAAAAAGGAAACAACTAAAAAGAAAAAAGAAATAAGCAAAGAAAAATTAAAGTAATAAAATGTTGCTTTATTAGGAATAAAATGTGAATATAATTGAAATATGAATACTATATAAATTGATCTAAGATTATATGGTTATATAATTATTGGGAACTTAATAGTCATGGTCTTTGATATCTTGAGTTGTTGTTGTTGTTGTTATGTGCCATCGAGTCGCTTGTGACTCATAGCGACCCTATGTACAACAGCCCTAAACTCCGCTCTGTCCTGTGCCAGTCGCACTGTCTCTGACACTCCCATCCCAATTATCCCAGTCACTGAATCATTCCACCTCATAGAGGGCCTTCCCCTCCTGCGCCGTACCTCCACCCTCCCAAGCATGATGTCCTTCTCCAAGGACCAGTCTCTCCTCACTACATGTCCAAAGTATGTTAGACGGAGCCTCAGAATCCTTGCCTCCAAGGAGCCACCCAGTTTAACCCTTTCCAGGACGAGAGATCCCTAATTAGTGGACTATGAATGATGGATGGTGAAGCTGGCATATTTGGACCCCAACTCTCTCTGCAGCTTTCTGGCAGGACTTTCCCCAACAGTTTTTGTTGTTGTTGTTATGTGCCATCAAGTTGCTTGTGACTCATAGTGACCCTATGTACAACAGCCCTGAAACCTGCTGTATCCTGTACCAAATTTATTGTCTCTGACACACCTATCCTCATTACCAAAGTCACTGAATCAATCCATCTCGTTAGTGGTCTCTCTCTCTTTCTTCATCCCTCTACCCTTCCAAGCATGATGTCCCTCTCCAAGGACTGGTCCTTCCTTGCAACATGTCCAAAGTATGCCAACAGTACCTCCTCATATTTCCTCATGGCCCAATCAATTCTTCATAATTCTAATTGTCCTAATAGGAAGTAACATGTGTTCAAGGAAAAGTATTGGAGAAAGAAAAGCCAAAGGCAAGGCATAACTAACATTGTGAAGAAACAAAATATTTTTACTTTATTGCCTGCCTGAAGACCTTTATTTTTTGGCATTTTACCTTTTAAATACTTCTGGAGCTAATAAAACAACATCCTGAATCTGAATGGCTTCTGGAAAAAGTACACTTGGAAAAAGAGATTCCTTTTTTATTTTAGTTGGTTTTGTTGTGACATTGCCCATTTTATCTTTTAATCAAATTATTTGAGTCTTTTCCTTTGTTAGTTTTGCTAGTGGTTTGTAGATTTTATTGGCCTTTTAAAAGAACCAACTTCTAGTTTTATTGATGGTTTCAATTGTTTTTCTATTTTCTATTTCACTTATTTCTGCCCTAATTTTTATAATTTCAATTTTTTTAGCAGGTATCGGGTTTTCCTGCAGTTTGTTTTCAATTGGTTGGAGATGTTGGGTTAGAGAGTCAATGGTCATTTTTCCTGCATTTTGGTGTTTGCTTATTGCTACAAATTGACCTCTGATTACTGCTTTGGCTGGTTCCCAGAGGTTTTGGTAAATTGTGTTTTCATTGTCATTTGTTTCAAGAGACTTTTTAATTTCATTTTTTATTTCTTCTTGTACCCACTCATGTTCAAGCAAGGTGTTGTTCAACTTCCAAATGTATGTTTTTTTCTCCTTTATCCTCTTGATATTAGTTTCTAATTTCGTAGCATTGTGGTCTGAGAAGATGCTTTATATTATTTCCATGTTTTTGAATGTACTGATACTTGCCTTGTGTATTTTTGGTGCATTAGCCTGTATCTATAAGATCAAGTTGGTTTATTGCATGGTTTAATTATTCAGCATATTTGATGAGTTTCTTCCTTGTAGTTATATCTTTTCTTGAGAGTATTGTATTGAAGTCTCCAGCTACTATAGTTGTGTTGTCTAGTTCCTTTTTCAGTTTTGCTAATGCTTGTTTTATATATTTTGCAGGTCTATCATTTAGTGCATTGATATTTATTATTGTTATGTCCTCATGTTCTATTGACCCTTTAAGTATTATGTAGTGACCTTCCTTGTCCTTTGTGATGGTTTTTGCATTGAAATCTATTTTAACAGAGATTAGTATCACTACTCTTGCTTTTTTCTGGTTGCCATTTGCTTGGTATAGTTTTTTCTAACCTTTTACTTTTAGTCTTTTTATCTTAACTTTTCAAGTGTGTCTCTTGTGGACAGCATATTGTGGATTTTTTTTAATCCAATCTTCTACTCTTTTTCTCTTCAGTGGTGCATTTAAATCATTCATGTCCAGTGTGATTATTGAGAGGCAAGGTTTTATTGCTATCATGTTGTTGAGTTCTTTTTGATGCTGTTGCTGGTTACTTTGGTCCATCCTGCTTTCTGTGGCACCTGTGTGAGAAGGATGTCTCTCAGTGTTTCCTGGTCTTGTTTTTACAAACTCCCTTAGGTTCCGCTTTTCTGAGAATATCTTTCCTTCATATTTGAGGGACAGTTTTGCCAGATATAGAATTCATGGTTGACAGTTGTGTTCTTGTAAGTGTTCAGTCTTCTTGCTCACATGGTTTCTGCTGAGAAATGAATAGTTAATCATATTTTCTCTCCCTTATAGGTTACTCTTTTTTTTCTCCCTAGCTGCTCTCAGAATTTTCTCCTTATCTCTGGTTCTGGCAAATTTGACTATGATATGCCTTGGCGGTTTTCTTTTAGAGTCTATTCTATATGGTATTCATTCCACTTCTTGAATATATATTCTCTCATTCTTCAGTTAGGGACCTCTCCAAAGTGCTGAAGAGCAGTGGTGTCTCTCTGGAGACTAAGGTGCGTCTGATACAGGCCATAGTCTTCGCAATCACCTGTTATGCATCAGAGAGTTGGACAATGACCAAGGAGGATAGAAGGAGAACTGATGCCTTTGAGCTGTGGTGCTGGAGAAGAGTACTGAGAATACCATGGACTGCTAGGAAAACAAATAGATTTGTCCTGGAGAGGGTTAAACCGGGTGGCTCCTTGGAGGCAAGGATTCTGAGGCTCTGTCTAACTTACTTCGGACATGTAGTGAGGAGAGACCGGTCCTTGGAGAGGGACATCATGCTTGGGAGGGTGGAGGGACGGCGCAGGAGAGGAAGGCCTTCTATGAGGTGGATTGATTCAGTGACTGGGATAATTGGGATGGGAGTGTCAGAGACAGTGCGATTGGCACAGGACAGAGCGGAGTTTAGGGCTGTTGTACATAGGGTCGCTATGAGTCGCAGGCGACTCGACGGCACATAACAACAACAACAACATTCTTCATTATGTCTGGAATGTTTTCTCCTAGTAATTCTTCCACAACTTTTCCAGTGCTTTTACTTGCTTCTTCCTGTTTTGGGATTCTAATTATGTACATGTTATTCCTCTTGATGGAGTCTCACATTATTCCTAGGCTTTCTTCTTTTTCCTTCCTTTTTGATTCTGCTTTTTGTTCTAACAGATCAATGGTGACAATTCTATCTTCAGTTTCTCTGGTTCTGTGTTTGATCTCTTCAAATCTGTTCATGTGTCCCTTCAACATCTTGATAGCATCTGAAACATTGGTCCTCATATTTTGCATTGTATGTAGTTTCTTGTTTTCCTAGAGCCTCTAATGCCTCATTTATCTGCATTGTTATGGGTTGTTGGTTTAGGTGTTGTTGTTTTTTTTTAAGCTCCTCTTCATTTTTGCTTGCAATATTCTGTAATTCTTCAAGTCTGTCTTTCATCCATTGAAAATATTCAGTCATTTTTCTTTTAAATTCTGTGTCAGAAAGTTTCATCAGACTTTCTGTCTTCAGAAATTCCACTGACATACTGTGTCACTTTTTGAGGGTGACATCTTGTTTTGGGTTTGTGTAGGGTGTGATGAAGCCTGCTTCCTACTTCACATTGCTGTTGTAGAGTTTTTCATGCCTGAGGTGATAGCAGGCTCTTGGTCCGAGATGACTGCTCCAGAGGAGGGTGGGGTAGGTACCCTAACGTTTGACTCAAGGGAAGACTTGCTTTTCAATTTGGAAGAGAAAAGGCCTATGAATTAGCAGCTTCCTCTGTTAGACAACTGCTGCAGCTAGGCCAGTCCAAGGTGCTCTGGGCTAAATGCAGCTCACACTTTGTGAGGGGAAAGGAAATAAAATGGGTCCACTTGCAATATTGATATTTTGGTATACTACAGAGGGGTGGTAGTGGGTCTTTCTCCAGGTATTGGGATTGGGGTGTCCAGGCTCTGGCACCAGATCCTCCAGATGGTGGGTCCAGAACCTTCCAGAGACACAGGCAGGTTCCAGGCATTTGAAGTGGGACTTTTGGTCATCCCAAGTCCTCATTATGAAAGTAGGAATTTATTGCTAGTTAAATCAAATAATTACCAAATCTCAGTAAGGCATGTTGGAAATGATGCTTATTTATCGGCTGAATTCTTTTGAATGTTGCTTTTTCCTTTTAGGGAAATACAGGTGCTCCTGGGAAGCCTGGTCTAATGGGAAATTCAGGCAAACCGGTAAGATCCCATCTGCCCACCCCATAAATTATAACTTTTTGTGTTCACAAAACAAAGGATAAAGAAGTGCTAACTTCTCCTCTGCCTCCTTTCTCTATGACAGGGCCAACAGGGGCCACCAGGAGAAGTGGGGCCCAGAGGCCCACGGGGGATTCCTGTGAGTATTCATCTTCTGTAGAGCTTCCTCAGGTGCCTTCTCAGTGTTTGATGGCCTGGTCATTTACTCATATGTGAATGAATGTTCTGATGTTTGAGTACACACTTCATCCGTACAAAGTCCAAATAAGACAATGTAATGGAAATGCAGTTTAAATATATCATAGATATCATCTTTTATAAAACAGAAAAGTGGACTGCTTCAAAAAACCACTAGTAAAGGGATTAGTCAGATGCGTGGGTTTTTGTTTGTTTGTTTGTTTGTTTTTAAATTTAATTTTGCCAGGCTTAAATTGGGTAGGTTCAGAGGCAGAAAAATGGACATCTCATTTCCATCAAGAAAGAAAAATCAAAGAATGAATCACATTCCTTAAGCCACAGGTTTCTGTGCCACCAGCAGTGGCACAGGTGGGAGAGAACCAGGTGAAATGAATTTGAACTAGAACTGCTGCTCCTCAGAGCTAGAGTTGAGGGCCTTTGCTTAGGCCTACTGGCAGAGTATGTGTGGTAGACACATATTTTGCAGAACTACAAAGCACTTTATATCATTGGCCCAGAGCTGAAAGGGAGGATCCAGAGCCTAGAGACTGAAGATCAGAGACAGCTCTGTACACCTGAGAAGAACCTGTACTGAATGAAGAATTGTATCCTGAGAATTTCTTTCCATGCCCCCCACCCCTTCTCCTTGTGTCCTGTTGAATCGGATCTAAATGGCACAGAAGAAGATTGTCTCTCCTTCTCCAGTGGAGCATCTGGTGGCTTTGAACTGCAGTCCTTTGGGATTGCAGTCCAGCTTCTTGCACTAGGCCACCAGAGCTCCCTTATAGCCTGAGCATTTCTGACACAAATTGTAAACTATTTATAAACTGTTGCTTTCCAAATAAACCTCATCATCCCCCCCAAAAAACCAAAACATGATGATCCTTTCTGCTCTCATTTTGTAGTGAAGGAAATATTTTAGTGTAATTTTTTTAAAAAGACAAATAACTTTATTGAGATACAGTTCACATACCATATAATTCATTTATTTAAAAGGTATAGAGTTTAATTATTTTTAGTATGCATACAGTATATGTACATTACAATAAATTTTAGGACATTTTTATTATTCATAAAGAAATTGTGAGCCCATTTTTAGACATTCTCCATTTTGCCCCAGCCCTAGGCAACTGTCAATCCTCTTGCTGACTTTATAAATTTGCCTGTTCTGGAAATTTCATACTAATAGGATAATACTGTGCGTGTGTGACTAGTTTCTTTGACTTTACTCAGTGTTTATAGTTTCATCTGTATTGCAGTATACATCTGTATTTCATTCCTTTTAAAAATTGCTAAACAATAATAATGTATAGATGTTGTTGTTGTTGTTGTTATGTGCCGTCGAGTCTCCTGCGACTCATAGTGACCCTATGTAGATATATAACATTTTATTTAGTCTTTCATCAGTTGATGAGTATTTGGTCTGTTAGGAATTTTTGGCGATTATGAATATGGTCATCTGAACATTTAGATGTAAATTTTTAGGTGGATGTGTTTTTGTTTCTTTGGGGTATATATATATATATAGCCTTGGATACCTTGTGGGGACAGTTCTTTGTTCTGTAGGGAGGCTCTCAGTTGGAATCAGCTTGATGACAGTTGGTGGGTTGATGCTGTATTGAAGAAATGCCCATTTATTTTTTCTTAAGGTGAGACTGTAAACGCATAAGTTTTATAGCATCTAGAAATATTCATTTTTCTTGCTAGATATAGTTCAACTCTTAGAGAGAAATTCTCTAATCGTGATTGGAGAAACATTACACATGTACACTAGATTTAAATTTTTTTCCTCCTCTGGCCTCTAGTTTAGATTCGTATTATCAAACTCTGCTGGGTAACTAAAAGAGCTCCAAGTAATAACCCAAATTCATTTCCAACTGTAAGCAATTCTTTCAAAAAGTTTCTTTTTTTTTTTTTTGTATGTTGAGTAAGAATTTTCATGCCCGAGGAAAGTAAAATATCCCAGATGTCTTGTGGCAATCGAGCGAACGGAGTTTCTCCCATTTTCACAGATGTTTGCCAACTGACCTCTGCCCTGTAGTCAAAGAAGCTAGCTCCTGTTTCTTATTGTGCTCCTTGCTTATTTATTCATCACTTATTCTTTTTATTTTATGAAGACTGTGTGAGTTTCTTACTAAAATAATTTCACTAAACTGATTGCCAATGCACTGAGGCTATAGAGAGATCACATTTGTAAATCAATAAAGATGCTTTGTAATTGGATCTAGCAAGATCTAGTCATATGAGAAAGCATTATTGGAACTTTGAAAAGGCTTATAGTTTATGTCTGCTATTCATTTTATTAGAAGCATTGGTGGCTCAGTGATAAAGAATTTCACTGCCAATTCAAAGGTGGTTTGAATCTACCATCTGCTCTGTGGGAGAAGGTGGGCAGTCTCTTCCCATGCCTCAGAAAACCTGCTCAAGGGTTAGCTATAAGTCAGTTCTGACCCAACAATATACAACAAAAACAATTCATTTTATAGGGGGCTCTGGTAGCTTAGTGGTTAAGAAGTTGTGCTGTTAAATCAAAGGCAAGTGGTCAAACCCAGACAGATGAGCAGCTTCCTCCCATGCAGTTTATAGTCTCTGCAATCCTGCAGGAAGGTCAGCTATGAGTCGACTCCAACTCCATGGAATGAATTTGGCTCTTTTTCATTCTACTGAAGAAAATTTGTATCAGAAAGGAAACATTAACTAAGTACCTACTGTGTTCCAGAACTATGCACTGAACACAAAGCGTGTCACAAAATAGAGGAGATGTATCCTAAGAGCCATGGGCTATATAAACCAAGGAATTAAAGACAGAATGCCTGAGAAGGGTGATTCAATTCTCTCTTCCTAGTGGAAGTAGATCACTAGTTTTAGATCTTGGATTAGTTCTCTTTTTAAAAACTTTAAAAAACTTCATTTTATACTAATTTGCATACAAAGTTCATAAAGTTCATATACATTATTTTTCACACCGAACTTTTCCCCTGTTTGCGGTTTCCCCCCCTTCTTTCATTTTCCAATCTAGCTAATGGTGTGTAGGTAAGGCTTATTTGATGGTTCCTATTTTTTTTTCTCTCACAAAATAAGTCTCACTACAAACTTCAATTCCAGGTCCCTGACTGTCCTGTAAGGTAGCACACAAGCATCCTAGAGGTTCCCACCTGCTTCACCACCTATTGCTGCTTATTTTCTTTTTGTATTATGCTAGTTTATTTACAAAATCCCAATACATTGTTTCCAGAGTAGATTCTTCCGATTTCCCTCACCCCTGCACCCGGCAAATTGTATAACCTCATGATTAAGCCCCTCCCGTTCCCTCCTCTTGTGTTTTGAGGTTTGACTTTCTCTTGAGTCCAAATTCTTACCGTACTATCTGGTATGGTGGCTAAAAGCTTTGACATTTTTCTTTCATCACATTATGTTATATTCAGTAGGACTTTTCCCAAGGTTCCTTGCTTTTGTCTTCTTTTTAACTCCTTCTTCTACCTCTCTAGTTCTGATTATTGTTGGGTTAGTATAATAGGTAATAACTCGTTCAGGTTCAGGTTATAATAGTCTTTTCTTGATTTTCTGACTTACCTCTACACTTTCCTTCCTCTACCAACTTTTCCCAGTATGACTGCTGCTATTGGCTAGGATAATTAATTGTTTGTTCTTGTAGGTAACATGGACAGACAGCAGAGTCTGACTTCTTTTAGCTGCACAAAGGGGAACTGTCTCCATGAAAAACACCCATGGTATAAATATGATCCCCCCCAGGTCAAACAGCCCACTCACTCTGTTGCACCTACTTCTACTACTTATGGGGAGGGGGGTGGGAAATCATTGCAAATGACCAACAAACTTTATAGAATCTCTTTTTATTCCAATTGTGGAGTTTATTAGTGTAGCAAGTTGAGGGGTGGGGAAGGCAAAGGACATTAGTAAGTGAAAGACCAGGTTTAGTGAACAGCAGCCCAAGCAGGTTAACAGCAAGACACAATTCTTAGTTAATTCAGACTGCTTCTCAGTCAACAACAGGATACCTCTGGTAAAGAATCTCTGGCCCCAGAGGATGGGCACTACTTTCTCTACTTTTTCTTTCCTGGTATAAAGGCTCTCTTCTCAAAAGCTCTGTCCCTTATTCTGTCTAGCTCCATCTGGTTCCTTCAGGATGTGCCTTGCCACAGTCTCTCTACAGTCTGATTAGCTCTCTCTCTTATGTTGGTCTCATAGCTGTTGATGATATTGAAGACATTGATCAACAGTGAAGCACATACGTTCCTGCAGTTGAGGCAGCTGGAAACTATGTGCTGCCCACTCCCTACCTCTGCCTCGCCCCCTTCACTCTGCTTTTCTGTTCATTGTCTTTCATATTAGAAGGATCAACCTTCCCCTTACCATAATCTACATTCATGAAAGCATGTAAGCCAGTTACTTCATGCCTTGCAACTTAGTCTCCTCTTTTTAGGTAGCCAATTGCTGGTTTGCTCATTCTTATCACACCAGTGCTCTGCGGAAACAAGCATGTCTCTTTCTCTGAAGACTCTATTATAGCTAAAGCTTTGAGGATTCACATCTAAAAAACAAAGGTCTAGTCCAGAGCATTGGAAGCAGGAGTGTCATCCACTTGCATAATAGTTTGCCTCTGGAAATCCTATGAACCTTGAGAGAGGAGGAGAGACACCCAATCATTGAGGACTCTCCTTCATAGGGTCACTATGAGTCACCTGCGATTTGACAGCACTTAACAACAACAACAACTACAGTCCAGAGCAAACCATCAAGGTGACAGCAAGTTAACTAACACAAGCTTACAGAATAAAACATCTTCTTTTCATCTCGTTGGGCTCTGGTCAACTCATCCCTGCCATCCTTGGCTAGGTCCAAATGGGTATTAGCCACAAACTCAGGATTTCTTTGATTTCAGACTGGCTGGTCCCTTCACTCGGCCTTAGTCCCACATGGGCTAAGTCAACATTTCAGGGA